TACATTTCATCAGAATGCAAAGAGTTAGAAAAATTAGACTCATAAGAGAAAAAGACAGGCATTAAATATTTGTGAGATCACTCTGTTGTTAGGATTAGCAGAAAAAAATTTAAAGTAGCTTCTATAAATATTTTCAAGAGAAAATAGAGAGATCCCAAGGACAAAATAGCATGTGAAATTAAAATTCACAAAATAGGCTTATCAGCAGTTTGTGAACTGCAAACTTCACAATTTAACTTGAAGATAGATCATGAGGGATTATTCAGTCTAAAGGCCAGAAGAAAAGAAATGAGTAGACTCAGTTACTGTCCACACCAGGGGGTCTTATGCACACACAGTTAAGGTCCTCGAAGAGAAGTTGAGGCATTATTTCATAGGCTAATGCAGTAATGCATTGATGCAATAATGGCTGAAAATATCCCAAATATACAAAAAAAGACACTGACAGATCTAGGAAACTCAGCGATTGCTAAAAAGGTAAATCACAAAGATAATTGTATCTAGATTCATTGTAGTCAAACTAATTAATCCAGTATGGGAAAATGTTTTGAAGGCAACCAGAGGGAAGTGACACATTACACTTGGCAAAAACAATTAAAGTGATAGCTGACTTATCAGAAACAAGAGATAAAAGGTCAAGGGGTTTACTGGCTAGAAGACAAAACTGTGAATGGAGAAGTATTCTCTATAATTGGAGGTAGAATAAGAAATAAAAACAGGAAATCCATTGTCAACACGCTCCACCCTAAGAAATATGAAAAGAAACTCATGAGGAAGAAAGATGATTCACCAGGTGGAAACAGTAATCTGCAGTGTTTTAAGTTACCCTTTGTTGTGTAGTAAATTTAGTGTAGTTTTTTGAGGGGAAGATTGAGACAGGGTCTCAGTATGCAGTTCAGGCTGGTTTTGAACTTACAGCAGTCAGTCCTCTTGCCTCACTCTGCTGAGTGCTGTGATTCCAGGCATGCACCATCACACTGGGCAATTTAGTGATTTAAAAGAATAGTCAATGATTATTTCTCCCTTTTCTGAAGCCTAGCAGACTCACTAGATGATTCTACTCTATGTCTTACTGTCCAGAGTCACTCACATGGCTTCCTTCAGCTGGAGAGTGGAAAGACCTAGGAGTTCCCAGATAGCTTGTCACACACCTGGTAGCTGAAATGCCTGGGACAGGCCTATTTCCCTCCAAGCATTTTAAATTATTCAGTAATCTAGCCTGACCTTATGTATTTTCCAATGGGATTCTAGAAGATAAGTGGGAGGAAATGGTTTCCTAACACAGAGTCACAGAATTGGTGCGGCACTGCTTTGCCATGTGTTGTTCATCAAGACAAGTGAAAAGACCAGCCTTGATTCACGGGGTGGGAAAACAGGCTTGCTTCTCAACGGGAGAGGCAGCATGAACATGTAGGGATGTGATGATGAACTCTTGCTAGTTATTTAAAAATATAATCCATCACAAAAAGGGAAGGAATGAAAAGTGCTGGAAATATTAAAATGTAGGTGGATATAAAAAGCAATAAATTTTTCCTCTTATAATCTGACATACATATGACTAAAGCAAAAATAAATAATGTATGTAGATATAATGTATATGACAACAGCACAAAGGGCTTGAGGTGGTATGTGCAACTATACTAAGTCTCTTGTGTTTTAAGGAAAATATTATAATTATAACTCTAATGGACCATAGCCAGCTAAGAACGCATATTGTAATTTCTGTAAACACTGCTAAAAGAATTTAGAGATATGCCTAAAGGCTTAACAAAGTAATTAAAATGTAACACTGAAAACATTAATTCAAAAGAAAGCAGGCATGATCATAGGAACACAAAATTAATGGAAAAAATTGAAAATGAAGAGCAAAACAACAACTAAATTCAACAGTATCAATGTTACTATTAATAAAAATGGGCTAAGCATACTAATTAAATAGATTGGATTAAAATAAGAAGTCCTAATTGATGCCTACAAGAAAATCACATAAAATTTTAAAAAATGGACAGGTTGAAAATAGAAAAATGGATAAAAATATATCATGCAGTGGCTATAATAATAACAGATGAATTTAACTTCAAGATAAGGTTTTTTATGAGAGATAAAAGACAATTCATAACAATAAAATGATCAGTTAAAACATTAGAACTATATTATACAATTGAGGTATCTCTATGCCCCCAAAATTTTAAAATGTGAAAGGTTGACAAAATGACAAATGCACATACTGTAGTTTGAATTAACGTTATTTCAATCATTGATAGTAACACTAAAGATCAGTAATAATATGGAAGAGCTGAACATACATATAAGTATACCCTGAATTTTGTCTCTGTATTCTTTCATTCTGTCTTCCCTCCCTCTAGGTATGTAGGGTCTAATCAGCCCCTGGCATCTACATTTCTCTGTGACATGTTTTTATGCTTTTTGCCAGTTTCCTTTCTTATTCATACCTTTACCTGTGCTGTAGACTACAACATGACTCTTTAAGCACTTGTGATTTTTCTCTCCTTTGGGATATTTTCTTCTACACTGGAGTTTAGAAAGCCTTTTGCATACTTCATTTTGTTTTCATTTTTGTTGTGCCACTTAAAAAAAATCTTGTTCATGCAATTATATATAATAGGGTTTTTTTTGTTGTTTTTGTTTTTTGTTTTTTTGGTACTGGGGATTGAACATGGGCCCTTGTGCTTGAGAGGCAGGCATTGGAACTACTGAGCCAAATCTGTGGCCCAATATTTTTTTTTTTTTTTTTTTTTTTGAGACAGGATCTTGCTACATAGTTCAGGCTAGCCTTGAATTCACTATGTAGCCCAGGCTGGCCTCAAACTTGTGGCGATTCTCCTGCCTCAGCCTCTGAAGTCCTGGGGTTACAGGCATGCATCACCACATCTGGCAATACAGTTGACTTTTGAGGCTCTCTTCTCAACACATTTTCTATCAGAATTGTTCTAAGAAAGGGAAACTATAAATAGGGCATATACAGATATTATTTCTTAATTTTGTGGCTTTTATCTATTGCTATCTAGAGATGTTTCAGAAATTTAAAGAAAATTAGAAAATTCTTTCCCATTCTCATGAAGACATGAATTTTTAGCCACATAAAAAACAGTTCTAATTTGTTTTGGTAAACATAACCTCATGCTAAAAGAAAATGTAGTCAGAACAAGCCCCTAGCCTGGAAACAAATGACTGTTATCTTGTGTTTTCTCAACCACTGCTCATCACGCAGGTTAGATTTTCCTGTAGTTACAATGGATTTGAATGAGGCCAAAGACTAATGGTATAAGAGCAGCAGAAGGAACTCCTTTTTGGTACCAGGGATCAAACCTGGGACCTTGTGCTTGTGAGGAAGGCAGCTGCACCACTTAGCTAAATCCCCAGCCAGAGAAGAAACTTTTTTGCAAGAGTGTGTATATCTTATGAAGAAAACAGAATTAAGCATCCATATGTAGCATTTTAAGAAACGTGTACAAACTCTCACTAGACTTATAAAATTTCCTCTCTGATACTGATTCTACTGAAATGGTTCCATCTCAGGGAGGAAATTCAGCCAGTCCTGAGAAAGTCTATGCCAGTTATGGTGAGGTTTTTTAGAGACAATGCCCAAAATGCAAACCAAAGCCCATTTATTTATCACAAAGTGCCAAAACTGCAATTAAATCTGAATACTGAGGCTTTAGTTCAGAAAAAACTACCTCATACATTAATATATTTTTTTTCTTAAAAGACAAACAGCACACATGCCATAGGTTTGCCACCATTGGCCTATGCCATTATTCAGTTACGATCAAAATTCTTCCTTGCAATGAGTTTAAAGCTGGGTCCTTTAGTTAGTGCCGGTTCGGTTCTCTGAGGGCATTAAAAATTAGCCCAGTCTCCTTTCACCTCCATTCTTCAAATCCTGGAGAACACATTGTGTCCCCACGTCTCTGAGCTTCTTTCTGGATCTTCTTCCCCGGAGTCTCAGTCTCTTTCGTTTCGCAGTGTTTAATCATCCTATTTTCTTCTTTTCATTTCACTTATGGTTGTCAATGTTGCACACGAAAGTTGACCCCACACGGCCCCTGGGTCGATCCTGTTGAGAAGGAAAAAAGAGATTCTTGCCAGAATTGTGGAGAAGACAGTTGAGTCGCTTACTTGATTGCTAAAATTGTAAAATAAATTTTCAAGGAAGAAATTATAAGGCTGTGCAGCGATTTCTCCCGTCAGAGCTGTGGGAGACTGCCTGCAAGACAGCTGGCTGCTTGCATTGCAGTTCCCTGAGCGAAGGAGTTGCTATGTTGTAAGTTCTGATTGGCCGTGATCGGCTGCCATCTTATGGCATTATTTAGCTAAATTTCGCTTTCCAGAAAAAACACCTGCTTCTTGTAAATCATGTGTATTCTGTGGAGCCATAATTGTGGCCTTGTACAGTTATCCTTGAGATTGTTTTTCATCCTTGAAGTTGTTTTTACTTTCATATTATTGCCTGATATAAGTGTGAGAGCCATCTGGCAGAAAGTAGTAGTAGTAGTAGTAGAAGTAGAAGTAGTATTAGAAGTAGAAGTAAAAGAAGAATAAAGAAGAAGTCTGTTTGAATCTGAGCATGACTCAGTGTGTTTACTCTCGGTGAATCCTCACAGGGTTGGGGCCTGCGGCCGGGCCCCCGACGTAGCAGCTCGCGACAAGAGCCACCGGTATCTCCGTTGTGAGGTGGGTCTATCTTTCCAGTGAGCTTCTTGGGTGAAATGACTGGGCCCTTGTTACTGTTCGCTTCGTCCAGGAGCCTTTGCACACCACAACTTCCATTGTAGTGGAAGTTTTCCATTTTAAGGATGAAGACCGATAAAATGTAAATCTAGAGCCAAATCTATGTGAAAAAAAAAAAAATCACCCCAGTGTTTACTTCCGGGGTCATTCCCAAAACCACTTCCAGGGTCATGTCCAAAAATCACTTCCTGGGTCGAAGAGCTAACAGCCACATTCCCAGCGCAAAGAAGAGTTAGGGGCGGAGGGCGTGTGCGCGCTGCCTGGGCGCCTGAGGCAGGTTCTGCGCATGCTCACAGGGAACGTTCGCTACTTCCGCTTCCTGTGCGTCTCAAAGCGCGGGCTCCGGAGAAGGTAGTCCGCGGCTCCTATTCGCGTTTCTGACTGATGCTGGGTTCTTGCTGCAGACTACGTCTAGCGACCCTGCATTTAAACGGGAGCGGGAAGACTGTTGAAACTCACCCGGATTTCCTTCTGGATGTTCTGATGCTGTGGAGTCTTGGGATCTGAGGAGGCGAGGTGGGGAGGAGAGGTTTTGGTTACCGCGGCAACCGGTGCGCGCCAACGTGCGTCTTTGGGGATCCTGGCATAGCCTTCGAGTTGAGGCTCCTTGGGTTACATTGTGAGTTGGATTCAAATCAACATGCCATTCAGACTTGTTTACTTAGCCACACAGTTTGATTTTAAAAGGTTTTCCCTGGCTGCTGTGTAGAGAAGCAAAATCTGAGAGTTCCGGTGAGAAAGCCTATTCGGTCGAGGCACAGTGTGAAGGTACCCCAGCAGGATTAATTCTGTAGGGCGCCAGAGAGGCCCAAAAGCTGGAGAAAATCCAGGAGATGGTAGCGAAGCTGACCTGCTCACTTTGACGTGCGGAATGAGCGAGGGATCTCCAGTTCACCTTGAGGATTAATTCCGGACCAAGCTTGGCTTATGACTCTTTAGCCTCATTTCCCACAATCAAACTGTAGTCCCTCAGTTTCTTTTCAATATTCACACAGGAAGAGATGTCATCTGCCTCGGATTGTGAAATAATTTATAGGTCAAGTACTTAGTAAGGATCAAATAAATATTAGCTACTGCTAATACTCCTGTTGTACTTGTTATATTGTTTTGTTATGCATTTCACTGTTTCTCTAGATGTTGGCTTTCTTTCAATTAATGGATTATCTATTGTGTTTTGGGGTGTACTTGACATACAGTAATGGATCATTTTTCTTATTGATCATTTTGGATGCTGCTGAAATTTCATCTTGTACTTTGAAAGAGTTGCCAGCTGCAGTGAATTTTGCTGGTCAAATGATACTTTATGGATGAGTTGATGGTGATTTTTCCATGTAACTCAAGCCTGTGAGTTAAGATACACCAAAGGGAGCTGATACTGTATTTTTGGTCTGGAATAGATATGACTGATTTCAGTGAAGAACTGACAAGGCCTGGGTCAGAGGATGACCAAGTGGAAATATCTGCGGTCTCTGGTACAGGAATGCACTTTCCGTGGCTTCAGGAGCATCTGGATGCTGTAGGTAAGTACACGATGAGGAAGGAGCCTGTTCCCTGTAGAGCAGGCAGTGGTGAGATTCAGCGTAGGTATAAGGGATGACGGCTGGTTCCGTTTTCAAGGTAGGAATACTATGTAAGTTTTTTTTTCTTTTGGCTGTTACCAAAAGAGAAATAACAAAGAGAATCTTTTTTCTTTTAAAATCCCTTATCTTTCAATTAATGAACAGTCTATATTAAAAAGTACTTTTTTTTTTTTTTT